GAGTTACAGCTTCGTAAGAATTTGCTCCCATGAGCACATGAGGAAGCACTCAGTGCAGAAGTTTAATAATGATTCCCTTCCTAATTGGCAGAGGAATTTGATAAGAAATCGCTATTGGGGGGTGGAGGGATTGTAGCATCATGGCTGGTGATACCACATGAACTTTGGAAGAGTTTGCTGCCATCCACCTCACAACTTGATCTTAAATACAAACCAATACTTTGAGAGGTACCTTAGTACTGGGACACAGCCTATAGAAACATGCACAGTAATACTGAAATCACATCACCTTTGCCCACTGAAAGTCCTGGTTCTCACAGAGCTCATGCTGCAGGTGGGTTAAAATACTCTTAAAATATAAGCAATTATCTTATTTGCATCTCTATGATTATGCCTATATAATTCCATCCTTGCTAATGCTGCTAATGGATTACATAACTTCACCCTTCCACTTCAACCTCATGGAATAATTCAAACACAAGAGTCTGCTTCAACCTTCTCATTTATGCAGTTTCCAGATACCTACTTTCTGTTTAGCAATGATAAAAATCCATTGCTGTCTTCCATTGCATATGGGGAATAAAGTGTTTTGTCATGTAAATCTCCATTGTTTCACTATATTCCTGTTACAGACCGCCAAATAAAACACTCTGAATTTGAGATCAGTCTTCCTATTACAAAACCTGAACCTTAAAACTGTTTTCTCATTGATTTCAGAGCTGCATGGTGACTGCACTTACAGACACAGCATCTAAGTAACATCTAGAAAAAACAACAAAACCCAAGGTAGTTTCACTACTAAATCTTCATACAAGTAGTTTCCTCTTTTCTGCATTCAAATTGATTTTCTTTCTTTTGGCATGTGAAGAGACAGATGAATCCTTTGACTCAATGCCCAGGAGTGAAGCAGCAGCAGCAGGGAAGCTCTCAGGGCAAGAGACGTGTGACAACGCTTTAATCACCGACAAACCAAGCTTCAAGACAACCATTCCATTAGTATTTACTGTTTTGTAGGTGAGTGCGTGTGTATATATATATATGTGTCTGTATATAAAATACATATACCAATGTATATAAATAGCATAGATATAAATACAACTGTATAACAATATGTATGTTGTGACCTTTTATTGATGGAAATTTCCCCTTTTGCCAGGGATCAAGTAGTCCCCAGTTACTACCAAGTGCTGCACTCTTCAATTAGGCTTCTGTTTACACACAAGAGTGCATCTGATTTTGAGTTAAGCCTTAAAAATATTTACTGTTCATGAACAGTGCCAGCAAACTTTGAGTTTTAATCTGTAATCATTTCAGCTGACTACCCTGGGGTTTTCTAATGGCAAAATACACAAGATACATGCTTGTTGTATGGAGATGGTAATGATGTTTTTTGCCTGGCTAACAGTTCAAGAAGTGAAACCGTTCTTGCATTACAGACAAGAAAAATCAATAAGCAGAGAACTTTTGGCCACAGAACCATATCATAGAAATAAATACATTTCCATATCGGAAAGTTTGGTAGGTGTTTAGATGCACCAGCCTAGGCATACTATCCCCTCTCCTATTCACCTACAAATCTAGCTGAGTCTGGGAAAGTCAATTCACTGCAGAGCACAGCTGTAGTATTACAATGAAACAGCACAGAAAACAGACAAAACCCAAACCTATCTATGACACCACCAAAGTTCAGCTGGTGAATTGTTGCTTAACAGACTCTAACCGTAATAACCCATCGCTGAACCTTGACTGCATTCTCAGCAAAAGCATGCTACGAAGCTATTTTCAACAGCCAACAGATTGCATATAAGAAAAACCCCTCTTCACCTAAAAATATTCGTCAGTGAATGGCAACATCATCCCCGGCTTCATTCTAGGTAGGATGCGCTGCCGGAATTCAACGAGTCTTTCAGGGAACGCCGCTTTACAAGTGTCTCCTCGCCCAAACCGCCGTATAACCACCGCGATGAGCCAAGGAGCGGCTCTCCGGCGGGCAGCAGGGTCTGCCCAGCGCAGGAGATGACAGCAAGCAGCGTTATCTTTGTCATCATTCCACCCTCCCCGGAGCACTAACCTGCTGGGGGGCACGAACTGGGAGAAGTGCCACCCCTCCGCTCACCCTGCCCGGGGATGCTGCACCCCCAGCCCGGGGAGGAAGAGGAGGAGAGGGGGGAGAGGAAGGCTCCCGGTTCCCCTTTGCTAGGGAAGCACCCCCCAGGTTTCACCCCAGAGTAACGCAGGAGCAGCCAGGGGTAGCTCCGCGCCTCCATAGCGGCTGCAGCAACGGGAGCCCCACAACCCCGGGTCCGCCCCCCCCGAGCTCCGCTCCGCTGTACCGAGCCGTACCGAGCCGAGCCGAGCCGCGCTGCCCGGCTGCCTGCCCAACTTCCCGCAAAGTCCCGCCGCTTCCAAACTTGGGGAGCCCCAACATCCCCGTCCCCCCTCGCTCCTACCTCCGCCGTTCTCCCATCCGCGCCCGCCGCCTCCACCGGCTCTGCCCTGCGGGGGGGGTGGAGGAGGAGGAGGAGGAGGAGGAGGAAGAAGAAGAAGGGGGAGGGAGGGAGCAGCCCCGCGCCGCTCGCCGGCCGCGCTGCGCAGCCCGGGAGGCGGAGTGCTGCCGCTCGGCTCGGCCCCCCGGTTCCGCAGGGGCGGGGGGTCCCCAGCGGTGCCCCCTAGGGAGGATGGGGCGGGTAGAGCCGCCCTGGTGCCTGCGGCTCTGCGGGGGAAGGGGAGCGGAGCACCCCCGGTCGGCATCGGGGTCCCGCCGGGCATCGCCCCCCCGCGGGAGCCGCTGGCTCCCGGTAGCGCAGACTGCTGCTGGGCTCGCCAGAAAGCTTCGGGAAGCAGAAGGGCCTCTCCCGAGCGATCCTACAGGAATTCGAGCTGTCCCGAGCAAGCGGCGCGTAGGTGGAAGCAGCATCCCAAACTGTCGCGGGCAGTCAGAGGTCAGCCCGAGGAGACATGTTGCTGCCATCGCTTGAGCCGGGCTTTGACGCTCCGTACCTTGAAGACCGCACGCAGCATGTGCTGCCGTGGTCCAGTTTGAAATGGGAACAGCACAAACACTGGCTAAAAAGCCAAAATCTTCTACTCAGCAAGTGCAAGGTTTATTCTCGGCTGAGAGGATCCTACCTGGAGTAATGTGCTCAGCTCTGAGGCAACACCACAGTGGGACTGCTCCAAAGAGTCTGGAGGCCACAGAGATGCTTTGAGGACTGGAGCAGCTCTGCTCTGGAGCCAGGCTGAGAGAGCTGGGCTGGGTCAGCCTGGAGAAGAGAAGGCTCCTGAAGGGGAGACCTGAGAGCAGCTCCAGTGCCTAAAGGGGCTTCAGGAAACCTGGAGAGGGGCTTGGGACAAGGGCCTGTAGGGACAGGCCAAGGGGAATGGCTTTAACCTGCCAGAGGGGAGACTGAGATGAGCTCTTAGGCAGAAGTTCTTCCCTGGGAGGGTGCTGAGGCGCTGGCACAGGGTGCCCAGAGAAGCTGTGGCTGCCCCATCCCTGGCAGTGTTCAAGGCCAGGTTGGACACAGGGGCTTGGAGCAAGCTGCTCTAGTGGAAGGTGTCCCTGCCCGTGGCAGGGGTTGGAACTGGATGAATTTAAGGTCTGTTTGAACACAAATTAGTCTGGAATTCTATGATTCTAGTTTGTATCCATAAATATACATGTATATGTAAATGTATAGTTTGCTTATGAAATCATCCAGGTGATACATGCACACACCTTCTGTGATGTAACAAAGTTTCCCACGAAGGTTTAACTCAGCACTCACTAGTGGTGTCAGAAGTCATGTGGCTGTGACTGCATCTGGCCAAGGCTTGTGTGAGTGCACTGGAGAAGGAAAACTCTTCATATTTCCCCCCTTACACTAAATGAACCCACTGTTTGGCTTAGATCCACATGTTTAATATTCAGCAACACTATTTCTAAGAAGTTGAGGTGATGAAGCAGGAGCTAAATAGGAAAGAACAATGAATATTTATTTCAGTATTTCTTTTCATGATTACGTCCATCTCTGGTTATAACTTTCAGAAGCACCTGAAACTTACACAAAGTTGTGGAAATCTGGTTTGAAGTGAAACCATATGTAACACAATAGTAAAATACATGTTACACAGCTACAATTAGGACCAAACTGATAAAGGATTTCATATGAGTGATTATACACCCCTAAGACCATATATAAGGTACTGACTTAAAAATCCCACAGGCTTCCTACAGTACAGTGTGTGTATATCAGATTCTCACCTAGTTCTTAGCTTAAAAAAAACCTCACAGAATAAGACATCTGATGGGGTGAAACCTGTAAATTATGAAATATTCATGCCCAGTCAGTGTTTCTGGTCTGGGTTAAATATGCTGCCTTCACAGGCCTTTTTAGGCCTCCTGGGATGCTCTGGGTAGCAATTAGGCTTAGCCAGATTTCTGCATAATTATACCCCCTTCCTTTTTATGTATGTGAAAAAAAGAACAGATAAGCTGTCATGGAAAGATCTTCATTCCCTGGGGAAGTCTCTGTTCATGCTGCTCCTCACCAAGCATCAGCTGGAGTAAATATCTTGATGGTGGCATCTACACATGGCAGCTCAAACTTCCAGGCACCCCATAAAGGTTGTGTCTATCCATTTCACAGGCTCTTGCAAACTATTTTCAACACTACCTGGTGAGATGGGGCAGAAAAGACAACGTTTTATGGCACAATAAATCACTGTCCAGGAGCTCATTGTATTACTGTGACCAGCAATACTCAGGAGAATAAATAGTCTAAAAAGCCTAAAAACTAAAATTGAACTTTAATTCTCCTCATTCCAGATGTTCAAAGAGGGAAAAGATTTCAATAGGGAAATTCGAGTAAACTTTGTCTGACTAGATTGGTTCTCTTAAAATGAAAGATTTTGACCTCCACCTCTGTATATGTGATTTCTGCTGGTTGCCATGCTTACTATGCAGTGAGTGTATAAAGGATCATCCCACTTCCAAAACAAGTTTGTATTTCTTAGCTCTGAGAAGGCTTATCTGGTAGCAAAAAGATGGGAGACCCCTTTTGCAGTGTTGGAAAGCAGACATAAAATGGGAAGTGTAAGTGTGTGAATTTTAAAGATGATTTTTTTTAACGCAGGGGTGTCCTTCCTTGTTGCTCCTGACCATGGTTTGGGGCAGGAGTGGGGCATAGAGGTTTGTGGCTGGGTTTGAGAGCAGCAGAGCTGTGCATTCATAGCCAGATTGAACTCTGGGATAAACAAATCAGATCATATCCTCAAAGCACTGCTGTAATGGGATGCTAATCCGGGGAAAAGAGCTGCTCTTCCTCCGCTGCCTATTACAGCATCAGCATCTTTAGGTTATTCTCACACAGAGGAGTTAGGAATGCAGATGTTTCTGCTTTGTGCTTCCTCTCTCCCAAACTCAAAAGGCAGAGGAAGAAGTTCATCGCCCGCAAGCACTCCGGAGCCTTTTGCTTCCCACTCCTGTTGCTTTTGGGGAGCCCTTTTCCCATGACCTCCCATCATCAGGCACCACTTCCCAAAGCTTTTCTCAAGGGATGTTGCTGTAGGGTACCAGCGTAAACCCTTACATCAGATTGCAATCTCAGCAGAGGCAGCTGTGGGTTGGGACAGGAAAAGACAAAAACTCCAAAACATCTCTGCCTGCCTTGTGCCGTGAACTGTGGGGAGCAAGCGGACATTCCCCAGGAGAGCTGCCTGAGCATCAGATTCAGGATTCCACCTTTGCCCAGAAAAGCAAAGGAATAGCAGGAGCTGGAAGCAAATAACTTATTGGGTGGGGACTTCTAAATCCAGCCAGGGAGTTTCCATGCAGTGAGCCTGAAAAACCACAAGGTGATATATATGTTGTACTTAACAGTTTCAGGATTTAAGACTGCTGTGCTGCTGAGCAGAGGCACAGCAAAGCCCAGTTTCGCACAGACATTCCATCCTGTGGAATGCATGGTTGCTTTCTAACACAGGCTGAGGTGAGGATGGGCAATCACAGCACCCCAACACCCGTGGTGACTATTTCGGCTCTTCTTCCAAATCTAAGTCTGGGCTCTGAGCTGTGAGTTGGTGCTAGGAGAAAATTGCAGAAGGATTTGCTTTTCTAGCTGTAAAATTAAAAATAATTATTAAATAATTGCTTAATTATAATGAAAAAATAAAAAAATACCCATTAAAATATGGGTATGGTTCTCACTGGAATTAACGGGATATGCCTGTTTTAAAGAAATGCATTATTTTATTTTCCCCATGGTATCCTGGCAACAGACAACACACCCCTAAAATACAGATCACTAATATCATACCTTACACATCCTTCAGCTCTTGGGTATATCAACCTTCTAAGTGATAAGCTTGTTTGTTATTTTCCCAGTTTGGTTGGGAATTACCCATCTTGGCATGCATATCCTGGGAGTGCATCTGGGAGTTCCGGCTCAGCCTTTAATTGAGAACAATGCCTTTTTTCCCCTAGAATAGGCAAAAATTAATACTGAAACACAATGAGATAAATGTGTCAGAATTTGGTTCCCCACAAATGGCCTGTTACATTTTAATGATGCATGTGGACAGCCAGTTTCCTTTTCCCTAACGCCATCCTTTCATTCCCGACACCATCCTTTTATCCCAAGTTGTATGTCCTTCAGCGCCCTAAATTATTCCTTTTTTATGTGTGATATTTATGCCCTCCAAGTACTTGTCGAAGGGTATCATCTCCCTCTTAGTCATCATTTAGCCAAGCAATATATATTAAGCTCCTTTAATCTTCACTCATAACTCAGCCTCTTCAGACCCTTAATCATTTTTATTGCTCTTCTATGAATTTCTCCCAGTTTCTGTACATCTCTTTGGCAATGAGGTACCCAGAATTTAATGCCTTATTTTAGGTGTGATCTCCCTGCAGCAACACAAAAGATGTTACCTCCTGCTACTTTTATCTACCACTGATTCAATAACATGCTGGAATCACGAAGTAGCCGGGAATCAATTAAAATAGATTTTAAATGGTTCAATGCTCAGAATTACCATAATGCTTCTGTGGCACCGCACGCAATGAGAAGGCTTCGAGCTGTTTGAAGCCTGCTGCTTTTGGAAATGCATGTGTGTGACTTCTAGGGCAGGCAAAGCTTTTAAACCTGCTGCATGCACAGCTCTGTGATTCTCTAAAGGAGTATGAACAAGGAGTTATAATTTAGAAGACAAATGGAGATGGGGTTCAAATTGGCAGCAGAAATAGCTCCTATGTGCTGATTGCCTGGGGGTTTCACGCTGCTTCTCCTATCACTCTTGGATATGTGACACCAACCAAGGGCTCATCACAGAAACAAAACTAGGTGAGCCAGCAGCCAAGGAGCTTGACATTGGTTGGTTCAGGCTCTTATTCAATTGTTCTGTTTGCTTTAATAAAGAAAAACAGAAAGTCTTTGGAAATTGGTAACTTTGATTAACGTCGGAGATGTCTAAGAAGCAGACAGATGATGGAAAGATCATAGAATCATAGAATCCCAGCCTGGTTTGTGTTGGAAGGGACCTTAAAGTTCATCCAATTCCAACCCCTGCCACGGGCAGGGACACCTTCCACTAGAGCAGCTTGCTCCAAGCCCCTGTGTCCAACCTGGCCTTGAACACTGCCAGGGATGGGGCAGCCACAGCTTCTCTGGGCACCCTGTGCCAGCGCCTCAGCACCCTCACAGGGAAGAGCTTCTGCCTAAGAGCTCATCTCAGTCTCCCCTCTGGCAGGTTAAAGCCATTCCCCTTGGCCTGTCCCTACAGGCCTTTGTCCCAGGCCCCTCTCCAGGTTTCCTGCAGCCCCTTTAGGCACTGGAGCTGCTCTCAGGTCTCCCCTTCAGGAGCCTTCTCTTGTCCAGGCTGCCCCAGCCCAGCTCTCTCAGCCTGGCTCCAGAGCAGAGCTGCTCCAGCCCTCGCAGCATCTCCATGGCCTCCTTCCAGGGGGACCCCAGTCATCCCTCCCGTCTGCTCTCTGGGCAGTATTAGGGCAGGGAGGGCCAAAATCTGTAGCCCAGTATGAGGTCCCATTCTGTTATGCTTTTCCACACTCCATTTTAGCCGAAACAGTACATGGCTAAGGGAATAACATGGTCAGCAACTGTTCCCATAGGTGTGACATCACCTGTGAGGTCAATGCATGAGGTCAGCCTGCTTTTCAAAGAGGGCTTACTTGTGCAGAGGTGGTCTGTGCCATGCTTCCTCCCTCTGGACCAGCGGATGGGCCCTGACCTTGTACGGCTCAAGGAGATGAATTTCCAAGCATGCTTTTGCTAGCTTAGGCTTCATTTGAGATAGACAAATAAAGTAATATACTTGCTAGATGTTATATGGAAAAGATCAAGATAGATCAACTGTCCTTACCTTCAAAGTTATGAAAACCATTACTACAAAGATAAATCACATACCTCCTTGCTGACATAATGATGAATGTTCTCTCCAAGTGTTATTCTCTCTGATAATTTCAGGAAAATGAATATTCCTGTTTGGTTTTGTTGCTAACTCAGGCCTCGTTACAAAGCCATTTCAATTTGCAATCATTCTTCCAGTACACCTGCAATGATAGAACTGATAAACACCTTCCTATATTATAATTCTTAATGACTACCCGCAGAATTTTGGCTTTAGGAAGAATACCAGAGATAGCAGAAAGCAGAGAGATAAAATTCAGCCTCCATCATACAAGCTGAGGAAATAGCATGGGAGGGATGAATTTCATACATATATTATCTATTCTTAATGCACATTTTTCCTGTTCAGTTTCTACTCATATAGTTCGAACACTGCTATACTTGAAGCTGCGAGGGATCTCTCAGTTTCTCCTTGTGCTGGTTTCTTCCTCTCTCCTGATGCCTGAAAGTTGAAATAGAACAACAGAGCTTCTGCACGTAGGTAATATCTTGCTGAATCAGGCAGTTTGGTGCAAAGCCAATTCCTGTGACTCCTGTGGTCTCGCATGAGAAATTGCTCTTGTTGAATGAGCGTTGACCATTTAATATACGTTGCTCATGACTCACCATATATTTTCCAAGAGCACTTTGAGGTATTTTGATCTGTCTCTACTTTTACAACCTAAACATATTCCCTGGGTATTTATTCAGCTCTGCATTCTTTTGCTCACACACATTTCCAGGGGTTTTATGCAGGAGTGAAGAAGAAACCTAACCATTGCAGGCAGCTCACTTAATTCAGCACAGTCCTGTCCTTTCCAGTTCACCCACCTGCAAAATGGGAATAATAAGAACTTAGGGAGAGTATTCACATGTCTAGCTTCAGACCTCTAATGTTAGTCTCTCCAGAAAGAAATAGCTTCTAATTGAAATGTTTTGAATGGGCTTTCTAATGGAACCTGCTTCTCTCTGCTAACAGTAAGGGAGACCCAAGTTCTCAGCCCAAGCACCCCTACATCAGGCACTTCATGCCAAAAGCCAGCCACTGTGAGCATCCTTTTTCATACCTCATCCTGAAACCATTTCCATGGTCAGCTTTCCATTGTGGAGCAGTATCTGATTAACTCAGCAGTTTTCCACATATGCAAAGTGGAGTGGGTTGCGGGATGAAGACTTTGCATAGCCCCAGCTATCAGTAATGGAGAATGAATCAGTATTTCAACAGCACTTTACATGTATTAAGCTCGGTGAAAGTGCTATTAATTATCAATATGGTCAGTCATTATCATTCATTAGTGGTTAGAGATAACTCAAGATCTTTGTGTTTCAGTCTCTTGGTTGCAACTGTGTGATATCAAGCAAGTCACTTTGCTTCTCTTGTCCTCATTTTTCCTGTCATTAGGATATCTGCCTCATTCTTAAGTGTGATGTGAACCTTAATTAGGCTTGAAAAGAGCTTTGAGAATTGCTGGTGAAAAGTGAAATATTAATGTCAACCGTTACTATAGAGCAGATGAGACAGAGCAATAGTCTCAGCCTTATTCAAAGAGGTCGGACTGGTGCCATGGAGCACTTCAATGCCTTATGAATTCTACCCAGAAGTAGCCAGTTCTCCTCAAAGTGAGAGCCAAGAAGCACCACCAGGGAGTTCAGATTTGGAAAACCTATCTCTACTGCTTTTCTTCTAGCTGTGCAGGCAAACTGCCCATTGGTATGCAAAAATGGATATTAAGGCATCTAAATATCTCCCCCGGACACAAAAATGCAATTTGTGAGTGCATTTCACATAGAAGGACTGGTAGAGAAGTTAATCTTTATTTCTGAAAATCTCCTCTTCAGTGTTTAGCCTTTGTGTTGATGATATGAATTAGATCCCTACTACAAACGAGCCTCATGTCCCAGAAACTAATGTGCTTTGCTCAAGAACCAAGGCTTTCTGCGTTTCATCATCATTCTCATCGTTAATGATTCTGCTTTCCTGGCACTGATGAGAAACGTTTATTTCCCTGGAGTATTTCTGGATGGAAAAATTATCACGTTAGTTGTGGGCAATTGAAGCTGCATTAACTTGCCAAGGCTATACTGCCATATTTAATCACTCTGTTTGGAAACCTGGCCACCTTCTTTCACACCTCTGTTGCCATGATACCCTCTGGCCATCCTTAATTTATGCAATTCATTTTTAGGCTGAAGACAGTGGCTGCCAGCTTCTGACTGCTTGAAAGCATAATAGCAAGATAAAATGGGAAAATGACAGTGACATAAAACCTACTCAGAGGCTTGAGAATGCAGTTTAAGGACTGTTACGAATCGGAGTGGTGGAGAGAGGGGCAGGTTAGCAATGCCAGTGTAGAGAGGTGAATGGGCATGCTGGAATCTACATAGTCCTGTAAAATGCATCTGTATATGTCACTTTTATCCAATGCTAGTAACACTGTCACAATGCTGTGGGAAAAAAAAAAGGCGATGCTGACAGTGAGGTGAAGCTCTTGCACAGTTCCTTAAGCTCTTCTGGGGTCATTGACTGAGTTAGCACAAGTGCCCACAGTGATACAGCCACATTTTCTTATTTATATCTACCACCCTCCTTGCATCTCCCAGTCAGAATCTGAGAAATACATTATTCTAGGCTACAATCATTTCTTCTTCATTTCAGACATCTCATTGCTTCTGCTCTCCATTCTGTTATAAAATCCATCTACCTTCCCCAAACTGGAAAGCCATACTCAAAATCTGCACAATGTTCTTTGCACAATGATTTAACCTGCCAGAGGGGAGACTGAGATGAGCTCTTAGGCAGAAGTTCTTCCCTGTGAGGGTGCTGAGGCGCTGGCACAGGGTGCCCAGAGAAGCTGTGGCTGCCCCATCCCTGGCAGTGTTCAAGGCCAGGTTGGACACAGGGGCTTGGAGCAAGCTGCTCTAGTGGAAGGTGTCCCTGCCCGTGGCAGGGGCTGGAACTGGATGAGCTTTAAGGTCCCTTCCAACACAAACCAGGCTGGGATTCTATGACCCAGTGAGTTATATATCCACACATACACACTTTTTGTTGTGATGTTACTGTGGTTTGGCTAATGTAGCAGCATCAGCTAATGCAGATTCTCTGTGAATTTGACCACACACTTCCCTCCACCAAAAGAAAGTTGCATTAATGCGCTGTCAGGCTTGAGCTCTGCCATCTGCTAAACCAGGAGACCTTGAAGTTAAATTCACTATCAGAACCAGTGCTTGGCTGCTCTGCAGTTGCCAGCTGTAGCTTTTTACTTTACTGTTTATTCTGTTAAATTTATGCCTTAGCATGTAAAAGCGTCCACAAACTATAAAAGCAAATGAGCAATGTGACAGGGGTGAGCACAGTGAGGACAGTAACTTTGAAATTATCAGATTTTGAAGGCTTAAAAATCTCAAGGCTTAACCTTATGTAAAGCCTTGGCTTTTAAATTTCAAATCTCTGTTCTTAGCACTCCAAATCTTGCAATACTCTTATTCCCTCTGACTGCACTTTCAGCACACTAGGGTATTTCTTGTATTGGACTAACAATGTACCACAAGTTTGAGAGCTCTTTATTGAGAATAGGCTATTCTCTCTGTTGTAGAACATAGGACAACTGGTATTAATTGTTCCGACAGGAGTTTTTAAGTCAGGACAGCTACTACATGGGGTAGTAAAATCAGGCAAAAAGCTTTGGTGCTCGCTTTCACATGCTCCCACTCCCAAATTCAGCCTACATATGAACAAAGAAAAATGCTTGGGAAATACATAGGGATGCAAAAATCACTGGTTTCGGTAATTTAGTTGTAGGTGACTCTTCTTTTAGTGCAGATACAGGAGGGATCAAACTTCTGTGTCATTGACTCATTTATTAAATGAGTGCATTTGCTTCCATAAACTTTCCTTCTCTGGTACCTGCAAGTTCAGGATTTTGTCCACTTGTCCAAGACTTCCAGTGATTCATAGCAAGCAGCAAGACCTCTGGAAACGTTTGATGTGTTTCCCATGGTCATGGAGATCAAATGCAGGGATCTTTCACAGCCTGTCCAGTGTCTCTGAGCCAGGCCAGGGAACTGCTCCTGCCTTGCACATATGGGCTGGAGCTGTGCAGGAGGTCTGATGTGCCTTGAGCCGTCTGAACTGACCGTGCACTTGCAGATTCCCTGTGGACAGGATGTCTGTGCCTTCCTGGAAGTTCTCAGCTCCCTGAGCACGGGACTGTCCTGGAACATGACCTCTGGTTCTGCTTCTTTTACCACATAGGAGCAGAACCATGGGCTAGCACAGCCATCACTATCAAACCAGGGGTGAAGCTGGTCTGGTGTATCCTGGCTGCAGCTAGCCTGCTGCAATCTCAACTGGTGTACAAGCCATAGGGAAAAACGGTCTAAAAGGAAAGCTGTTTGAATGAGAAAATGCAGACCTGCCTAGAAAGGCTGCTCTAGCACTGTTGTTATTTTTTTCTTCTGAATCAAAAAAGAAATGTCAGTCTGACCCATATGTTGGAATCCACGCAGAACCCTCAAAGACCTATATACAGGCTGGAAGAAAAGTGCCCATATGGTGTCTTCATTCATTGCAGTGCTGGTAGGCAGCAGAAATACCTCAGGGATAAATTGGAGGTGAGAAGATATTTTTAATAAGACAGACTGCAGTGATCTATAAGAGGAAATAATCATTGACCCTTTTTACAAATATCTATATCTCTATCTCATATACTTTCCTTTCCAGTGCTGGCAGGGAAAAATAGAAAAGAAAGGTTTCTTGTACTATCAAACACTGAGTAAATTTCCCAGTTACTGGTGTTCTACTCTATCAAGGTTACTGTTAACTTTATTAATATTCGTTTCCATTTATACTACTGCAAAGTCATTAATGTGATAAGAGTGTTATTATCCTTAGAACAATAAGTATTTATTAAAAGCATGTACAGTGAAAATTGGTGATATGATGAAGCATTATGAAGTAGAATGCAATGAATCCCTTAGGAAGACTAATAAAGATTTCTGGCTCTTCTTATTCCTCCCAACAACTTCACAGTATTAAGAAAAAAAAGCAAGATAACAGCTGAAGTCGCTTATCAGGATTTGCAAGTGTTCTGAGTGTTCATCCCCAGTGAGAGCTGGAGGGATCCATTTCTAGACGATGATTATTGTCTGCCCTTTTAGCAAGGAA